AGTGTATGTGTGTTGTGTGAGAGAGAGAGAGAGAGGAATGAGAGAGAGAGAGAGAGAAGAGAGAGAGAGAGAGGAGAGAGAGAGAGAAGAGAGAGAGAGAGAGAGAAGAGACAGACATGTATGTGTCGAGAGAGAGTAAGAGAGAGAGAAGGGCACAGAGAGAGAGAGAGAGAGAGACAGACAGACAGACAGACAGACAGACAGAGAATGTACACCCCTTTCCCTTCACCCGACCCTTAACAACCAGCTGAACAACACCAGCAAGCCGAAACTACGTAACACCCAAAGAATCACGAGCAGGAGACTCCCCAACATCTTGAAGACTATTTCCCCAACAGCTTTCAAACAGCGGCCGCCTCCCCATTCAAGAAAAGGTGACCTTGTTCGCCGCCCTGAACAGGACTGGCCTAATGAAAGGCTCCCTCGCCATCCCGGTTGCCGTCAGGTTAAACACGAGGGAGATTATTTTCCCCCCAAAAAAAGAGTTACAGCGCCGCTCTCGAGGATAAACACGACTTGTATAACCGTAAACTATACAAACAAGGAGAGTGTCACATACATAATACAAACAGCGGGTCTCCCTCCCTTAACAAAGAGCAGTTTTAACGAGCGCCGAGGATGAGGACGAGGATATGACGGCGGCGTCCCAGGAAATGATCTCGGAATTATGGAATTTAAAACAAGAAATGGCAGAGGTCGAACGAGGGAGCGGAGGTGGCTCGATGATTAAGGCAATAGCAGTGAAAAATTGCGTAATGTGAATCACCGGTTTGAGAAATCTGAGCAGAAATTATTAGGTAATAACCGCTGAAAATGCTGTTTGCGCGCTTGATATGCGAATAAGACGGAGGAGAGGGAGGGAGAAAAAGGGAGAAGAAGAGATAGATAGATAGGAAAGATAGAGAGAGAGAGGAAGAGACAGATAGATAGAAAGATAGATAGAGAGGAAGAGACAGATAGATAGATAGAAAGATGAAGAGACAGATAGATAGAGAGAGAGGAAGAGACAGATAGATAGAAGATAGAGAGATAGAGACAGATAGATTGCAAGAAAGAGAGAGAGATAAACAGAGGAGAGAGAAGGAGAGACACAGGAGGAGAGAGGAAACAGAGACACAATGAAAGGCAATAAAACTAAGACCGAGAGAACGTGGAACAGAAAGAAAGAAGGACAGTAACAGATCGAAAGAGAGAGAGGGAAAAGCAAAGAGAGAAAAGGGGAGACACAGAAATAAATCAAGAGCGAAAGAGAAAAAGAAAGAAAGCCAGGATGTAAGACCTAAACCCTTTCAAGCTCTGATATATAGCATTATGATTTATCTCCGATGAAGCCGTAAGCTATAATTAAAAACGACTTGAGTGCGCTATCTGGAGAGGGTCACGTGACGGATGGTCGAGAACTGCAATGATAACGCTGCCTGGGTTGATAGCGCGGGCGGGGTCAACGAGTTAAGGAAGTTACCGAAGGCGGGGGCGTGCGGGCGTTCAGAACAGCTTGATGGAGTAAGAAGAGTAAAAGAGTTGCTGAGAGTGACTGCCGAGGAGCGTGGGCGTGGGAGGCGGCGTGGGCGAGCGTGGCGAAGAGTGGGCGTGAATGTAGGAGAAGGGCGGGGGCGTATGAGCAAAGGAGAGGAGCATTGTGTGGTGTTTACTCTGGCCGGGGCTTCTTACTCTCTCCCTTCGCCGTGTGCACAATGGCCCAGACGTCTGTATGCGGAAAGCGAGAATTTTTGATGGGTTCTTCAGGAGAGGCGGGCTACATTTTATTATGAGCCCTCCACGTGAATCTCGAAAGGCATTTTGCGAGAGGTAGCAACATGGGATGCGTTATGAAGTAAGCTGCTTATCTATGTTGCTATGTGTCTTTTGTACACAAGTATAACCTGTGTATATTATTGTGACGCATGTGTTTGATTGAACAACTTCAATTATTTGATTCGTTAAGAGATTGGTTTGTTTAAAATAAGAAGTCCCAATGAAAACATTATCACTAACTGTATTTCAGAAAAATAATGTTACATATTGTTTCAGAAATCTCAAAATACCTATATTTTCAAAGAAAACATTATCAGTAACTTACTTCAAAAATATTTCTCATTTTTAAAATTCATGATTTAGTAATGTTCAAATAAATGAATATCAATATCATTTTATCATCGAATTTGAAGGGGAAATATTTTTTATATAGCATAGATTACAAAAATTGAAACAATATAACCAATTTTACTTGTAATAAATCCAAATCTGAAAGCATCATATGTAAAGTGACGGGAAATATTCCATGAATACATTAGTCTAATTAAGAGGCTTATTTAGATTTGCTTAATGGGAGTTAAGATGAAAGTCATTGTTGTTGGGATAACAGTAACAACAATTTCACTATATTAGTTATATTGGTGATGAGAAGGATAATACCATTAACAAACAGGAACAATAGTGTTACTAATCGTGACAGCTTCTTTAACAACAACACAGTGACTAATATAACACAAATATGATA